GAGATTTGAATAGAAAAATTCTCATTCTCTCAATCTAAAGCTATGTCTGTGGAAGGATTATAAAGATCCTGAAGATTGAACTTCTAGCGAATAAAGAAACGCATATTGCTATATTTTATACTTTATAGCAATTTTCTCTTTTAATATTTAAGTATATAACCCGCACACACTTTAGAGGGATTCTTTGTAAAGGAGGTTATCCAAGAAATATACCAGTATGAATAAGATTTGAGGGGATATTAGAAATATTTACAAATGAACACAATTACCATCATCAAACCTCGTTCTTACTCAAACAATTTGTTAGTAAGTCAATAGAAAGGTCATAGAAAACTTATTTGTGTAAAACTTGGAACAATTCTCAATTATTGTAATGGAGAAATTTTGAGTGGTTTTTTTTCTAAAGAATATTTAATAATCATATAACAACACCAACTACCTAGTCATGAAGTCACATCTACTATGATTTGACATACAGATTTATCGTTATTCTCTTCTATAAAACAACAAAAAGCTTCATTAAGACATTTTAGTCTTAGTACAGATTCTCCGAGTAGAAATGTAGGGCACATGCAGGAAAAACAGTATTACAGTAGAGTCTTCCATGAGGGACCACCTAAAAACACGGCAAACCTGGGCTCTCTAGGAGACGGTCTCTCATCAGAGACTCGGTCATGATAACTCAGTGATGATAAGTTATGGTGGATTCTTTCAACACTAAAATTAATTTTTTACATTATAGTTTATTATAGTTAAAAATGATTTACTTTAACCTTTTAATATTGTATTCCAAAGTTGATTATCAATTCCGCTGCGTGCTCTACGTGTTTTAAATATCACCCCATTCAAAATTTGGAATCGAATAAGTTTTATCAAAATATAATTTCTTGATATGGATAACAGCAGGTAGCTGAAATGTTGGAATAAAATATTTGTTGAAGTAAACTTCCATCCCTCCAAAAACATTCTATATATTTTAAAATATTGTTTTTTTCAAATAAAAATAATCAATATATTAGTTATACAGATTAAAATAAACTTCATTCATCTCTTTACAAGGCTTTTAAAATTTCACTAAATGAGAATCAGCTAAAGAGAATGTATAAATTATATTTTGCATCTATTTTAACTCTCTTAAAATTTTGAAGGATGCCTTGATCAAACACTTGTAATTTTGGTTGGTAAATATAGAAATTTGATATTTTATAACTCCAGTCTTATGTGTCTTGATACATTCCCCAAAATAAAATAACTTTTCTATTTCGTAATTGTGTGTGGATAGACTCAGGTATTGTTTATAATATGCAAAGTTATTCAATTTTTTATTTGAAAAATTATTGAAAGAGAAAACTTTACCACATACTTTATAATACCCAAGAATTTCTAATACACCAACAAGGAGTAATAGTTATTTGCCTACTAAAAGGTTGGTTAAAAATCAAAATGTTAATTTTTTTGGTAAATTTTAGCACCAACTGAAGGTTTCATTTTTTTCAATAACTTTTGAACACTACATTATACAATGGACACATTCATCCAAATTAAAATTTTCATGAGTGAATAATTCTAGCATTATTCGAATTTTGCATTGTTCAGTCATATTTTTCACATTGAATCTTCTTCAGTTATGTTTCCATTTAGTGTTGCATCGTTTTATAAATTTTTTAGATAAACAGAAGAGCTTTGAATTATTTTATCAAATAATTGAGCTTTTTTTTAATTAGTGGTCCCAATATATTGGAAATATTTTGTATCGCATATTGGCCGGCGATTTTCGAGCGCTAATTCCATATGACGGCTATTTTAAAACATTCATTTTCCTTTAAGATTCAATTTTTTTAGAAGCCATTATTTATTATAGATTTATTCAATTTAAAATAATATGAAAAATTAAAATTGAGCTTACTATTATTTTAAAAAACAAAAAAAAATATTCATAAGAATAAAACACATTTTGTATAGTTATTTGTTCGAAAAGAGCTCAATAAATGTGTCACATAAAAATTCACAACGATTTTTCAATTAATAATTTCGAATTCATTATGTTTTTAATACATGAAATAGTAATCTTATTTTTGAATAGTCACTCACGAGAGACGAAAAAGAGATTTTAAGAAGTCGCTGGTCGTTCGAGGAGACGATCGCTCATGGGAGATTCGCTATAGTAATAAAACTGGGGAATACGTTCGTTCCTTACAATGTGGTCTCTCATGAGAGACTAAAGAAGGGATTTTAGTGGTCGCTGGTCGTTCAAGGAGACGATCGCTCATAGGATATTCGCTATAGTAGTAAAACTGGAGAAATTCGTTTGTTCCTTACAATGTGGTCTCTCATGAGAGACTCTACTGTAATATCAGTAATAAGCATTGTTATTATTATAATTTTTAAATCTGATCACATTTAATGGTAATATGGTAAAACTTAATTGAGACAATCAAGCTAATAAATAGATTGGTCTGGGTAAATTGGAGGAAAATAAATTGCTTATACATAAGTCTCTGTAAATAAAAAAGTGTAAAAGTTAATTACATTTAATATTTATATACAAGAAAACCTAATTAAGACAATTGAGCTCATAAACTGATAGGTCTGGGTAAATCTGAGAGAAAAATAAAATATACAAAATTATAACTGAATAAAAACACTGGAATATATGACATAAAGGTAAGCCAGGTACCTGGAGCATATCCATAGATTGCCAACTACCCGGCCATATATATGGTACATAAGCCTTTACTAGCCTTAACATTTAGCTTCATTTCTAACACGTTTAAAGAGCAATATGCAAATATTATTGTTTAAATATTATTCTACCATTTTTTCGCATTGTCTTCCAGGCCAAAGTGCCACAATAGAAGCTTTAAAAATTACATTTTTTATATGCAATTAAATTTATGCTTCAGATTTAGCGATAAAATGCTTAAGCGATTAAGTTAAAAAGAATTAAAGGCAAGGCAAGCATTTTATATTATAGATAAATTTTATTTGTCTAATAAATTACATTACAATGTGGTGGAGATATTTAGTCCATGGTGACTCCAGTCCTGCCAGCGACGGCACGGATGAGACGGTCGATCTTGCCGGGGAAGTTGGTGGAGTTGTCGATGATGTCCAAACAGGGGTGACCCTTCCACACCTCCCTGGCTCTCTGCTCCATTAACCGGGCCAGTTCCAGCCCTTCCGTCCGGCACTTGTTGTTCTCGAGGGAATAGAATTGCTCGGCACCTTCGGCAGCTGACACCAAATGGACTATCTGGTCATATCTCTTGTCCCGGATCTCCTCCAGAGTCAGATTATTCTGAAGAAGGATGTTCTGCCACTCGTCCTTCGAGAGATATGCTGAGCTACAGAGTGTCCCGCGGTCACAGATGACCAGACAGTTTTGGCCGCTGTCCTGGGCCAGTTGGAAGAAGGTGTCTTCAATGCACATCATGGTCTTGAGGAGGTTGTTTTGGAATCTCGCCGCTTCTTTAGGTCCCAAGTCGGCAAATTTCACTCCACCTCCTAAAAGGACTGTAGCAGTTTCAGGCACTCGGTACACCTTCCATCCAAGTTTCTCGTAGAAGTTACACAGGGCATTCTGGCCCTGAGTCTTGCCGGCGCAAGGTCCTCCTGAGAGCACTACTCGATGAACGATCTTGTTGGTGTTTGAAATTTCCATCTTTATTATTTGTTTAATTCCGAGGGATTTTTTCACAATTTTTTTAATTTGTATTGAAGTGTGTATATTAAATAGAGAAACAACAAACAGAAACAAAATATATTAATAATGAATAAAATTTTGAATAATGAATATTTCACATGGAGATAAATCTGTTTCTTTAAATCTGTTTCTTTTATATAAAAAAACACATTCACACAATAATCAAGTGTAAAGCGCTGAAACAAACTCCAGAGAGATGGACAACATATTATTGACATAAAATTCTTAGTTATACTATCTTCACTTTGATAAGGATTAAATAAAGGTTTCTGGAGATGAGTTTCTTTTCATTTTATTGAAGCAGTCTCAATCTCTGTCTTTCTACAGGAGAACATAAATAAACGAATTAAACGTCGCCTGATGCCAGGAGATTTAAATAAATTAATATATAAAGAGTTGAAAAAATAAGTAAATGGTAGCAAAGATAAAAAAAGTCAAAATAAATATAAATGAAGAGAAAAATTATAAAATAAAAGAGGATTCTATATACAATTAGGTTAAGTCAACGACAAAGAGTCCTCCTGAGATACAAAACACACACAACATTTTTAAAGCTAAAAAATTGAATAAACAAACAAAATATAAACATGGTCGTAATTAATAAATTGTAAAAATCCGTTTTATTGAAAAAAATATATTTGGAGCAAGAACATAGAGTAAGACCTCCATTTTTCTCCTGTCTACACAGAACGCCATCAAGTGTGATTTCAAAGAGCATCGCCAACTTACCCACCTCTATCGCTGGAAATTAGAAGTAATTTTAAAAGCAACTTTTCCTTTAAAAATTATTTTAAAGAAAATTTTCTCATTGACCTTAAACTGCAATGAATACATATTTAAAGACTTCGAAGTCTATAGAAATGGCTTTTAATCAAAATATTTTAAAAATAAAAGTCGCATTAAAAATCATTTCTAAATTTCAAATAAAATTGCATTTGATATTTCCAATTATATTGAAAGGAGGTCGGTGGAAGGGTGGTCTAAACCGTTGGTTTTCGACCGCTACAATCCGGGATCGAATCCCGCATTGGGCACTTTTTTCTGTTTAAAAAATGGTACAATGGCCCCCGATTCTTGTAAAAGTCCAACTCCACCAGCAAGTGCAAGTAATAAAACGGGGCTCTGGCACATTTGTAAGTGCAAAGTCGAACTACTTTTCGCATGTGTAGACATGTGGTGCACTTACAGTAAAAGCTGTCACCTACTTCTATCCACCATGATTATCATGGCCTGTACCACGTGTAATAGGGATAAGAAAAAAAATATATATATATATTTAGAGAGAGAAAAAAAAAATTGCTTCGGCCGGGAATAGAACCCGGGCCGCCCGCGTACCGGCGAGCATTCTACCACTGAACCACCGATGCTTGAAATTAAGATTCAAATTTAGGCAAAAAAGTAAAGATATGGTCACATGACCTAGATAAGGAGTGGGATGGAGATAGTGACCACTGGTCAACTGAGGCAGGACATGGTTCCTCGATATCTGAATACTTGACTTAAGTCAAACACCTATGTCACTGACTGTCTACCATGTCAACTCTCCAGTAAACTGTACAGCCCGTGTGGCTGATAAAGTAAACCTAAGGTGCAGGAACCTGGCATAATTTTATAATGGATTAAGCTGGTTGGGAAAAAAAAAACTTACATACTTTTAATAAACTGGTAAAATAAAACCTCTTCGACAGAAACTAATCAACTTTAACCACTTTAATAAAATTTCAGTGTTTTTCTCACTTCACAGTTTAAATGAACATAAATTCTATAATAAAACATAAGGAATTTTTGAGACGTATCTATCTATATATAAGAAACCATTTAGCGCAAATGATGATTTTCCATATTAAACAAAAATCAATTCACATCTTACCTAAATGAAAATAATAGGGAGTGCCTGGCTCATCAGTGTTGAACCCTTATCCAGAGGTTTCACCAGTTCAATATACCAGACCAGTTTACGGGCTGTTTTGCTTATACAAACATATATATGATAAAATATAAACAGTAGCAATGCGTTTCTTTATTCGTTAAAAGTGCAAGATTTTGGATCTTTATAATCCTTCCAATGGCATAGCTCCTGCCTAGAAGTCCTCCTCTACGTGGCGGGCGGGAGAAGCAGCACAAGTAAAGGACTGCCCTGTAGGGTGAAGTACGGTGTCGTGAGCCCCGAGCAGCTACGGTAACCATGAACAGGGAACTCTCTGAAATGTGGTTGACTAACGGGGCAATGGCACCCCATTCCTATGGACAAGACATCACCATCACTGGTATAGCTTTAGGTTGAGTGAATATATATTCTCATTCTCTCAATCTAAAGCTATGCCTGTGGAAGGATTATAAAGATCCTGAAGCTTTCACTTTTAACGGATAAAGAAACTTATTTTGCTACTGTTTAGATTTTAAACTTTATATATAATTTTCTCTTTCACTATATAAGTATATAACCCGCACACACTTTAGAGGAATTCTTTGTAAAGGACATTATCCAAGAAATATATGAATAAGATTTGAGGGGATAGTAGAAATATTTACAAATAAACACAATTACCAGCATCAACCCTCGTTCTTACTCAAGCAGTTAGCAGGTAAGTTAATAGAAAGGTCATAGAAAACTTATTTGTGTGAAACTCAGAAAAAAATAGTTAATTAGTAGTAAAGAAATTTTAATAGGAAAAAGTTTTTTTTTTTTTAATGAAGATTTAATAATCATATGTGAGATTTAAAATATCTTTCATAGCCTCCTATATGAACAGGAATGAATTAAGAATGAGATAGGAATAGATATAGATTTTTTTCCGGGATGAAATTGATCTATAAAAAAAAACAATTTATCATTCTCATATATTTGTTTTTCCTCGTTTTTCTACTTGACAATATTTACAAAAACAAGCGAACCACAAGACGCTAGAATTATTCCTAACAGCCACTAAATGTTAAATACTTACAAAAAGCAACTATAATAGGAAGGCAAATAGGAGTTAGAACTTTCATAAAGTCATTTTAGAACTTACAAACGTAGCGACGGTGGTATAATGGTTAGCATAGCTGCCTTCCAAGCAGTTTTTTTTTTCAATTTTTACTTTGTATAGAAAATAACAGTTCTCACACATTTCTGTCTTTATCTACTCTTTTCATAATTTCTCAGGATTCCTGAATGACGAGTAATTTTTGGTCGTTAAGATACATCTTTCACCACGCTGATGAGGAGGGCCAACAGCCCTAAACGTTCTGTTCTTGATTAATCTAGCTGTTCTTACTTTTTTTTTTAATTATTCTAACTGTTCTTGATTAATCAAGAATGGGTATTTGGTCAATTCTAGAATAACTAAAAATCAACGAATAGTTGATATTTATTCCGACAGATGGTGCAAGCCATCAGCAACTTTTAGTTTCACGGTCAGAAGATGCCTTTTTCTTATTTTATCTACTTTATCCCAGTACTATTTCACGTTTGCACTATTTTTTCACACGCTCTCCTAACTGAGCTATTTCGGCTTTTTTTTTATTTATTTCTATAGAAGCTTCTATCTTCATAATTATGTATATTTACAAAAAGTCAATTCGCTTCCGCCTCTAGCGGTGAAAATGAGGGGTAATACCAGCTGACCTAATGTACATGTAAAGTTTGGAGCGGGACGTTTCACAAGAGTGACATCCACGGCTCCAATTTATAATTGTAACAAATAGTATTTGAATAAAAACATTCAATCGGGTAAAACACGGGCGTTGCCCGGGTCATTCAGCTAGTAGATAATACCCATGAAACGAAGTCGGTGGACGAGTGGGTAACACCCTCGATTCCCGACAGCTATAAACCGGGATTGAATCCCACGTTAACATTTTATTTAATATTTGAATAACCTGCACATATTATTCATTGTTGTAATTTTCATAATCTAGTTTTCTCTTTTTGAGCGGTACCTAGTAAAGTGATTTTGGAATATATAATACCCTAACAGAGTTTCAGTTGTAAAGTTTTAATCAATCTCCTTCAAAAAACTGATCTATACTTAGCTATCTATATACCAAAATATTCGTTATTTTTTTTGCAATGTCACGCCTATTTTTATTCTCTAAATGTATAATTATGTATACATTTTATATGATAATTTTCCATTCTTAGATTTTTAGCTTCCAATTTTATTTTAATTATTTATCATTAATAAATAGTTTTTGTGTTTTTTAAAATAAGTACATTTGTATCATTGATTTTTTTATCAATTATTCGATAGTAGATATTTTGTGTTTTGAATTCAATTGTTAATTACTTTTCTTCTCATAATCAGAATTACTTCTTTATAGAAATTCCTTGGAGATCTACTCTGGATGGCAATGATTTATCCGTATCTGCCCCGAATGTATATACTTTGTTTAGAAAGTATTTTTATTTAACCTCACTTGAAAATCTGCTTCTAATAAATTAATATATACCTATTTCAGTTTTAAAAGCCTTTCTAGACTTTTAATGTGTCTTCATATCCATAGGAGAGACAAGAGAATTCGCAAAATTCCTGATAGAAGAAGTTGCCCTCAAACACAGAGCCCTCAGAGAAATGATTACGGACCGTGGGCGAGTATTTCAATCAAAGATGTTAACGGAACTTACTAACCAGTGCTCTTCCATACACAGGTTTACAACAGCCTATCATCCCCAGTAAAATGGATTAACGGAAAGACTCAACAAAACATTAGCTAACATGCTGGGAATGTATGTGGCGTTGAAAGAAGAGACTGGGATGTTATCCTTCCCAACATCACTTTTGCCTAAAACACGGCCAAGCAGGACACGACAGGTTTTAACCAGTTTAAATTAATCCTTGGACGCGAAGTCGAAACAAATGTAGATACTCTATTCCCAAATCCGAATGAAGATCTCCAAGAGAAATACAGTTAGATAATTGCAGCTAGAGTTGAAGACGCTAGGCAGCTGGCATGATTGGAAACTTTGAAGGCCCAAGAAACAGACAAAGTTAGATACAACTCCAAACACGAATCAGCAGAATACAGCGTCAGTGATCTCATGTGGATCTTCACACAAGTACGAAAGGTGGGAATCTCAGAAAAAACTCATTAAAAGGCATTTAGGACTGTACATGGTGACACGGAAAGTATCCGACGTAACCTACAAATTCGAAATTGTGGAAGCATCAGACTGTACACACACCTACTACAAATAGTACAATACCATAACTCGGTGGACCAGGTGAACCTGTTCAAGTAGCTTGGTACAGCGAGACGCTATTCACCTAAGAAGAGGGCAATGTCAGTGAATAATTTACTAAATAATAAATCATCAATGATTAAAGAAATCAATCTGCCCGTGAAACGACATTCTACAAAAATGAAACGCTAGCCATAACAATGACAGTCTTATTCTTAATAATGGTTATTTTATCCGCTCCGAATTTTTTCCGATTTTAATAACAACGATAAAAATTTAACCCCAATAATGATTATTTTACATGCAACATCGGAACTTTATCCATAACAATCAGATTTACCCCCAAAACACTGTAGAATTTAGTCCATATAATGATATTTTATCTACTAATTGTTTTTTATCCACAACAATAATTATTTATTCACAACAATGACACTTAATAGGCAACAATACCAATTTATCTAAAATAACGATAAATATTCCCTCAACAAAGAAACTTAATTGACAACAATGACTACGTTATCCTCTCAACAAAATTAAACTTAATTCAAACAATGAATTCTTCAACCTCAATATTAGATTTTTTCCGAAACAATGGTGACTTTAGTCACAACACTCAAATTTAATAGGCAACAATAACATTTTCTCCACAACATTTCTAATTTAAACGCTTCGATTTTAAACTATATATGCAACAATAACTCATTTCTCCACAATGATTCCCAACTTACCCTTAACAATGAAATTTTATTCAAAATAATCATGTCATCAACCACAAAAAGTGAAATTAATCATCAACAATAAAACTTTATCTTCAACAATGTAAATTTTTCCACAACAATGAAGCTTTAACCACGATATTGACTACTCTAACCGCAACAATTACAACTTTTCAGCCACAATGAAATTTTAACCAGAATATTCTTTTTTTTTAGACGAAAAAGTGAAACTTATCCTACAAAAATGAAACTAGCTACAACAATGACGGCCTAATTCTTAATAATGATTATTTGTTTAGTCACAACAATGAGCACATAATCTGTAACAATTACTACTTTATCCACACAGATGAAATTTTATTCAGAGCATGGACTACTATTGTCATAACAAAAACTTATTTTGCAATAATACAACTTTAACAACAAAAATTTAAACTTTATCATTAACAATAATTATTTTCTTGAATACATTGTGGCGGCTGTAGTT